ATATATATATATATATATATATATATATAATTAAATAATGAAAGGCAAAAAATTAAGCCCCTAAATTTTATAATATGATAGCATTAATGAGGGCTTATCTCTCTCATAGTAAAATATTTATTTCCCATGCCACCATAACCTTCCTTAAGATCATCGCAAATATTTGATTTTGATTTTATCTAAATTCGACCATGGCATTCATATCTATTCTTCTATGAATTCTAGTAATTGTAAGAAGGATTAGTTGACTCATGTGTGTGTTAGGCTTGATCATAATAACATTAACATTTTAATAAATGACCTAAACCTTACTTGTTACATTTATACCCCCCAATTCTTTCATATGACATAAACAATTCAACTATTTTAGCTTTTAAAAAGTAAAATACATATTTTTCATACATAAACAGATGCCCACCCACCATAGAATATGACATATATCTATAGTTGTTAAATGTAATAGTTTTTGTTATGTACTTTTAAAAAAAATTAGATTTTCGCCCCTCATAATAATATTTTTTTGTCAAATACTTAATTTGATAATTTTGCCCACCGTAGAAAATAAAGACGGTTTCGCCCCTTAAGATGTTATATGAGTAAAAATAAAAATGTAGGTCTTAGAAATGTAAATACATATTAATTAAGGGGTATGTATGTAAATCATTCTCTTAAAAAATAATAATAATATAACAAATATGATGGGATTGATAACTAGTTATTTGCTAAATTAATTAATGGGAGGATAACTATGTTTGTGAGGGTTTGAAATACCTTGCATTTGTTTATAGGAAATGATGTAAGAAAATAATTAGTTGGAGTTAATGCAATGTTGAATGCATCAACTTAAGAGTCGCATTAATGCTTTGATGATAATATATATAGTTTAATTTGGTGATAGCTTTAATTGAAGTTATTTGTGTGTGTGTGTGTCGCTAGCCGTGACCTATTGGTAGAACAACCTCTTTGAAAGTCGTAAGTCTCTTCAGGTCACGGGTTTGAATCTCTCTCTAGCCAGTTTGTCGGTAGTGAGGGCGGTCCTCGAATAGTCAGACACTTGAGGGTGGAAAGTCGTAAGTCTCTTCAGGTCACGGGTTTCGGGTTCAAATCCTCCTCTTGCTAGTTTGTTGGTAGTGAGGGCGGTCCTCGAATAGTTAGACACTTGAGGGTGGCTGGGAGCTCGTGTAATAGCCTCAACCATTCTTTTATATATATATATATATATACTTGAGTTTGGAGATAAATTTAATTGAAATTAATGCTGAAAATTTGAGGCATATTAATGCTTTGTTGATAATATAGAATTTAATGTGGTGACAGAATTAATTGAAGTTAGCGTTAAGAACATACAAGTCAAATTAATGCTTTGATGATAACGCATAGTTTAATCAATGTGATGATAGAATTAAGTACCCAATTCTTTATGTATTTACATATTAACATCTAAATTTTACTTTTTTAAATCTATACTGCTCAAATCTTTCATATCGCATAAAAAACCATTATCTTAACTTTAAATGCGAATACACCTTTTTTTTGCATAGATGGGATGGCACAAATGTAGATGTTGAATGCTTTTAATATGTTGGGTCCAGTATTGTTTGTGAGTTTATACAACTCACGTTCTCCATACCTAAATTATGTGTCCACTTTATGACTCTTCTCAAGCAGAGCATAGAGAATGATCTGGCGAGCAAGGATCGATAGAGAGAAGGGTTCTGAGAACGCCTAAAAGAATCACGAAGTGGGATCCCTCAAAATGGCCCGAAGACTAGATACTACATTCTTCCTCCAGTGCCTTTGTCCATCCATTATATATGTTCAAGCAAATATTAAAATACAGGTCATAACGTACACAATTCGTCCACAACGCCTCGATGAAAATATTGCAACTTGGATGTCATAGGGTTCATAAATGAAGATGTGGCATATATCTATTCTTTATACAGGTCTTAACTTTGGTGCTTTGATTGTTTCGAGGATTGTCGATGATGTAAGCTAAGCTGGTCAGTTCAGTAGATGAAACAAGTAGATCAGTTCAGTGAGTTTGTTCGCTAAGTCAGTTTGGCTGGTCAGCTCGACAGATGAAACGTGATAACTAACATGTTAGAGAGTGAGGCCAACAAGTCGATTTAGCTGATCCTCCATATGATGATTGTACCTTCTACGCCGACGTGCCTTCTAGGTCCATGTGATTTAGCCCACGAAAGCTAATTTTTGGCATGCAGTAAATATTGAAGTTTACGTAGCACACAAGTAAACATGCGATAATTGAGCGGTATGTATGTAAATCTTCCTAGAACTCAAATGGAATTAATGTTAAAAATTTATGAGCCACATTAATGTTTTGATGATAACATACTATAATTCAATGTGGCGATAGAATTAATTAGAATTAATGTTAAAGATTTATGAGTCATATTAATGCCTTGATGATATTATGTAGTTTAATGTTGTGATAGCATTGATTAGAATTAATGTTATAGATTTATGAGTCATATTAATTCTATGATGATAGTGTATATTGTTTAATGTTGTGATAGAATTGGAATTAATGTTATGTAGTGTTTTCACATAGCATTTTCTAGGCATAATAATTTGGCTGTCGAGACAAGCTGTTCTTATAACTTTACAAACATACCACCCAATCTCTATGTATTTACATATGGTACACATAAATTTTAGTTTTTTTTTACATTTATACCACCCAAACGTGTCATATCACATTAAAATTACCACCTTTTTAACGTTTAAAATGTGAAGTGCACCGTTTCTTGCACAAGTAAGATGACATATTTGTAAAAATTGAACTTAAGGTGTTGTTTATGCAAATATGTAGGAATTGATTGGGGTGTTTCTAAGGGTCCATTTGGGGCAGTTTATTTGGTGCGGTGGTGTTTTGAAAACACACTAGACTATTTGGGTAAATTATGTTTTGACAGATTATGTGTTTTGAAAAGTGTTTTCACACCGCACTTATCTTAGGTGTAGTGTCAACTTTCTGGCAGTGGTGTGGCTTTTTCAAAAAAAATAAAAACTTATAATAGTCACTGTTCCTAGCTTATCAACACATTTTTTTAATCAGTTTATCAGCAAATTATTCAATAAGCTGCAGCCGCCCTAAAGTGACCCTAAATCTTCCCTATTTTTTAATGCAATTATGTCTCTCTTTCTCTCGTTCATGAAGTATATATATATATATATAAACTGGAACAGAAGGAGAAAGAAGATGATATATTTTTATGTGGCATCAATAACTTCTATTAAATTTAATGATTTTATATTTATAGGAGATAGGATTGTTGTGAAATGATGACTACATTCTTGACCGTTTTTAAACGGTGGACCCCAAACCAATTGACTTCATGCCTGCAATTGATGAATATTGTGTGGGTCATCTTCTTGTCGATCGACCTCTATTTGAGCACTTTTTGTGTCGATCAACCTCTACTTCGGTCGGTCTATTGTCAGTTGACCCTTGGTCAGCCGCTCAAGCAATCTCCGGTCGGCTGTTTGCTGTCAATCGATCCTCCTCCAGGTATCTTTGTTTATTCTAATAGAGCTCTATCATGTGTCGCATGCTCCGCTCAGAACCGTTCAATCCACAGAAGATATAAAATAAAATATTGATAAATTTGAAATGTTTGAAATCAAATATATGTGTCAATGTTCCTTTAAAATTATTAGATGATTATAGCTTTGGCTCGATTCGGTATGTGGCTCACGAGTTTAGCTGCATAAGCTAACAAGCCAAGCTCACGCCAACTCTGAGTCTTGACTCAACTCGTTGGTAAGCAAGCTTTCTCATTTAAAAAGAAATGTTAATATAAAATATACGATAAATATAGTAAATTTTAAGACTTTTGGCTATTAATTATTAAAAAAATAAAAAAAATATATATTTTTTATATTTTAGAGCAAATATTTTTCTTATTATTTATCTTTTAATTAATACGAGCTCTAATTAATGTTAACTTCTTTTTGGCGTAGCTTAAAATCGAAGAATTAAGCTTAAGCCCGAACTCAAACTCACTAATTAATGAATCTCAAGCTCGAGTCAAGGCTCAATCAAACTCGAACGACCCTTCTACACCCCGAATGTTAATGAACCTATCTCATTCATATGTATATATAAATGTGTTGAATGATTTTAAATTGATAAGATATAAATATAGAATTAGAGATTTAAATTCACTTATCTATATCGGCATATGATTATCAGTCTTTTCACATATTTGATAAGGAACTCATTCCATATAATTTT